GTGCTCAGTCTTGCCATGGTGTATGACCTGTGACATGAAACTGTCTTCCACAACCTCACTTCAGTAGCAGAGATTGGCTGTTCCTCACCCAGTTTTAAGCCTCCTCCACAGCTGTTTCTGTTTCAGTTAATGACTGCATTTCAACCTACATATGAAAGTGATGATCATTAGCACCTGCTTGGTATAATTGGTTAATCATACACCTGACTCTAATCCTCCAAGTTCCCTGACTTTGTGCAAATGTACGAAGTGTGCAAGTGTAAGAATTGATGCTGGTTTGAAGCCGAAGGGTAGTCACACCAATATTGATTTGATTTAGATTTTTCTTGTTTACTCACTTTGCATTTTGTAAATTGATAAACAATTACAATATATATTTTTGAAAGCATTCTTACTTTACAGCATTTTTCACACCTGCCTAAAACTTTTGCATAGTACTGTATATATTGCCATGTAATTTTAAATGTATTGCATTATGTATATACAAATAGAGATTTATATGAAATTTATAAAACTTAGACTCTAATGCTGTAATATGGAACAGACAAAGGTCTTAAAGTTTGTATCCAGTAGAGTTGCTTTTCAGAACTTCTAGCACTGAGTTTATACTTTACTCACAACCAGGTGTTCCTTATTTTGAGATCAAACTCCTTGATGCTGCTTTCAGAGTACCAGTCATTTTTTTAGGGTAAATGCATAAGAGAAGAACATATGATTTCCAGGATCAGAATCGGGGTTTGCACTGTGAACTGGGTTTGATTAATGCCACCTTATTTAGCTGATACCATAAAGCCGCTCCTCTGAATTTGGCTCTCACAGAGCCTCGCATGGGCATATCCCATGCTAACATTTAGTTCACATAAGTATTTGAAATACCTACATGTTCTAGTTTATCTTTCTCTAGTTTGATATCCTTCATGTGTATTGGATTACAATTTCCATCTCGTAACTCTTTTCATTATTGGACATGCTGACTAGAGATTCTGAGAATTGAAATACTATACATCTGGTAGGCACCCAATTGGGGGAGGTTGGGTTGCTTTGTCCATATGATAAAAATATTAATTATATGGCAGGAGAACCAGCAAATAAAAATGACCAGGGACATATTCTTAAAAATAACATGCCTTCTTTGATGGAATTTGGCAGCTTCCAAAAATAGATTCCTTGACCTTATAGAATTTCTGTGTTAGTGGTATGGCAGAAGGGGTTCCCAAAAGGAAGTAGTATTGTGGCAGTATCCACACAATAGCACCATATGGATCAGACCATTTTATAATTTCAAGGGAAGTTCCAGAATATTGTTGAAAGCTCCTGTACGATGCTCATTAATTTCACCGTCTTGTACACTCTGTGTCTTTGGGACTGATACATTTTAATGTACCAATTTTGAATTGTCTTGGAACTTAGGTATATGGTTGACTTTTCTCTAAACTTAACTAAATCTTTTCATTGTCCTATTCCTAATGTAAGTATTAACTTTCTCGCTCCTGTGACAGTCAACCCATGGGCTGCAGACAGCCTCCCAATATCCCATTTGGCCCGCTGAGCAAGTGATGCTTGTGCCACCAAAATTTAGAGTTAAAATAATTGATTTCTGGTGGCACTTTTTTTTTTACCATTGTCACAAAATTAAAGGTGTGAATGAAACAATGGGGCAAACCACTTCTACTTCCACAAACAAGCTACCTCCCAGCAAAAGAAAAAAAAGTGGCTTCATTGAAATTGGGCTGTTTTGATGCTGGTGATGGATTTGGGGCTGCTTTATACAAGATTAAAGGTAGAAATGGAAGTGGTTTGCCTCACGGGAGCCTCCCATTTCAATTCCTGCCCTGTTCCCAAAACACAAAGGTTAAAAAAGCCTCCCCCCATCCCCCGACATAAGGGCATCTTGCTACTACTTGAAAGACTGGGAAGCTAAGTTGTGGCACCCAACTTCTGAAATATGATCTATTCTTGTTCTAGTCTTAGTGGTTTTTACTGAGTGCCAATTTGCCTGGATAGGAAGACCATTTGTTCAATAGCAGAAGGGAAGTTTTATATGCAGAAGACCCCGGATTCAAACCTTGGTACTCCAGTTAAAAGGATCATAGATAGCAAGGAAATCAGGGAATGTCCTCTGAATGTGATCTTAGACAGCCGTTTTAATACTAATCTAGGTAGGCCAGTGCTTTGGTTCAACATTAACCTCCCATTCTCAAATTCATTAAGAAATGTATTTATTTACAGTTTTTATAGCTTGCCCAGCTCAAAAAACTCTTTTAAAACAAATAAAAATTATAAATGCAACAATAAAATAAGTTAAAAGTATAAGAACAATAGTAATAATAATCCATTAAAAAAATCAACCCTTTCCCAAGATGGACTCCGATAACTTAGCTAGGGTTGAAACCTGGTAAAATAAAACTGTCTTTAAAGATCTTCTCAAAACCATGAAGGAGGGACTTACAAACATGTGGGTTAAGGAGTTCCAAAGTGTGGGGGTCGCCGTAGAGAAGGCCTGTTGTCTTGTCT